GGGGTTACATGAAGTTTTTAAGTTTCTATAATAAAAAATCAGATACAAATTTATTTGATGGAGAAATCAAGTATTTCAAATTTAAAAACTATTTTACGTATTTTTTTAATATTCATTTTATATTAATCAAAATCAAGTTAATTTTGTCGAATTTTGTCTTTTGAAATTTAATTTTGAAAATAATGATATCTTTTACTGTTTTAATTTTTTCAGAAGGAGAAACAAACCCCTCGTTTCATTCAACACCTCCACCACATTTCCTCTTTGTCGCATACCAATAGCGAATGACTTCACAAACCTCACCCTCTTCACTAAGGTAGGTCACATGTGCAAATTACAAGATGTCAAAATTTAGGTTAATGTTAATAAGACACAACTTTTAAACAAAAATAGTTTATTGTTGTTAAACAACTGTCACACTTTCTAAACATGTTATCAAACCATAGTTATCACATGTCACATATAACTCTAGCCACACTGAATATTATTAGGAGTCACCTAACACTCTCGTATGGTCACTTTCTTCCATATTTTTTTTTCAAAGTCATAAAAGACACTATTCTATGCACGTGATGAAGGTACACTAATTATATTGCGTAAGATAAATAGAGTCACAGAACGTCATAATCAAAGATGAATATGAACTACATACGTGATTAAAATTCGAAACTCATAACAATTATCACGAATAACATATATATAAAAGTCACAATAAAGAACAAATATACTCAAACTCGACAACAATATTTATTTGACAAGAAGAATATTCTTACGAGAGGAATAATCAATGAAGGTGGTGACCGATAATTGTTAATTAACGATTTCTGTCGTGACCGACAAGTATCCCAACATTTCGTGTTTCCTTATTTACAGGGAACTAAAAATGGTGTTTGTAATTGTCTAGTTGTTTAGGATCAGGAATATGAGGATATAGAGATAAATCTCAATTATCCTTTAATTGAAATTAATATTTAATTATGACTTGAACTTTGAAAATATTCTCAAATTTTGAAATTTCTGAAAAGGCAATCTTAAATTAAAGGTAATGAAATAAGATCTTAGGAATGGATATTGTTATAAAGATAGAGCGAAATTTGTCTTATTTCTAAAGAAAATCCATATACACTTGAGAGATTTGCTATGCTAGCTAAAACTATAAATGTTCCTTTAACTATTAATAGATGTGTGTAGGGGCGGACCCAGGAAGGAAGTTCAATGGGGACGAAACCAAAAGACCTTGGAAAAAATCTGAAAACCTAAAAAAATCTGAACAAAAAAACTAAAAAAATCTGAAAATCTGAAGAAAAATCGGAAAATTTTAAAATTGAGTGGGGGCGGCCGCCCTCACTGGGCCTTATGTAGGTTCGCCCTTGGATATGTGTCTAGTCCACGGATTAAACATTGAGAGGCATAAAAATGGCTCTTAAGGTACTGAAAGAGAACTGTGAATATTAATTCCGCGTTCAAACATTGTAGTGAAGAAAATAAGACTTATGCGTGAATGAAGTCCTAATTGCACCACATAGGGCACTATCCGCAATTGTGGATAGTTGCGGATCACATATTATGTGACAATAAAGGAAGCGGTGTGGCGTAAGGTATGTTCAATGTGTTAAGTTTCCTTCAAAATACAATTATAGTGCGGCTATACGTTGTGCAAGAATCTCGTCTTTCATAATTGGATAAAGCAGATTGATTATACAATAAATTTATCGATAAATTATTTAATATGCATTACTATAAATTTTTATGACTTAATAATCATTATTTAGCACAAACATTAACTAATAGTTAAGTAATAATATAGTAAATTTATTTACAAATATTTTTGCAGGCAATACTTCTGAATAAAGTTTATACATTGACAACTTTCACATATACAACATTTCAAAGTTAAATATAGAATATTTTATAAATACATACACAAAGTTAAACATAATAAAAGTGGGCCGCTCTGAGTTCTTGTTATTTTTCTAGGAGGACCTTATTCTTCCTGGCATCCAGAGCCCAAATGAGGTCCCAGGACAATTGTAAATCACTTCTCAAAAGTCTTATCAGGGGCAGATCCAATGCCGCCACTGAACCCTTAATTTTTGACATTGAAAAAAAAAAGTCTACATAATTTTAACTCGTAATTTTTATGTAATTATGTTTCGCTCCCACTGAACTATAATTCTGGATATGCTCGTGATAATCATTGCATGGATTCTCATCGACCATACATTCAAGTGCCTTAGATTTGAACTTCTCGAGCCCTTCACTTTTTTCAATAGGTTGTATTCATTGTTGAATTATCTTAGCGGGATCCATATTTACAACTCTTTCTTATTGGCTTTTAAAGTCCCCATGATTGAAATTATAGACGTTGGATGGCCCTAACCATATTAAAATTATTTGTATTAATTTTTGTGCATTAAGGCTGTGTCCGTTTCTAATTTTTTATTTGATTTTTAGCCATTATTTGACCGTTGTCACGGGTTCCATCCATAATAGTTGACTGCCTCTCTCTCATGTGGGACCCTCATGGATAAGGTAACAGTCAATTTTGTAATTTTAATCTGCAAAAAATCAGAATCAGACACAGCCTAACTTATTTTACTATAAATTTTCTTTCTTAATTATCCAGTATTCAAAATTGATTTTCATTAATATTAAAATGTTGTGAAGTGACAATATTTAATAACTTTTGAATATCAAGTCATTCTAAATGCTAAAGTATTGGGTTCTTGAAAAAATCATAAATAAATTATTTTATGTACTTATTAAGTTTATATTAAATTTTATTATTTTAGATAAATCATAAACTAAACATATGTATTTTAAATTTTTGGAACTGTAAAATATTGTTTTCAATAAGTTTATTTCTACCATTATTTTAGAATTAGTAAGGGTATTTAAATTTTTTCACCTGTTAGCCATTAGAGGGAAAATTCAAGGTGCCTTGTCAACTACCTCTTTCAAAAAGTTCAGTAACCAAAATACTGAATCCAATCCAGCAAATCATTCTATCAAGAAATACCAGACAACTAAAGAGATCTAACTCAGATTCATGGAATCTTTGACAATTCAGGCAATTGGCCTTGTAATTCTAGTGACATTGCTGCTGAATCCTGTATTTTGTTTGAACAATTGCAACTTTCCAGCCATTTTCAACTTCGGCGACTCGAATTCGGATACCGGAGGTCTGTCGGCGGCCTTTGGCCAAGCTCCGCCTCCCAATGGAGAAACCTTTTTCCACACCCCGGCTGGAAGATATTCAGATGGGCGTCTCCTGATTGATTTAATAAGTACGTTCATTTCGATGCAAAGATATGCAGTTTCCTTCGAGCATTTTCTCAAATATCAGTTGTGCAAAATGGAACCAGTTCTCAAAATGTTCATTTTCTGGAATATTATATTGTTTTAAATTTGTATGTGATTGCATTAAACACTGTTAGTTTGTTCTCTAGGAGTGTACTTTAAGAAGAAGTTAAAATCTCATCGGTTGTTACGTTGATTTACTATTAGTGAATTTCTGTGTCAGCTGAGAGATTGGGATTACCTTATCTAAGCCCATATCTGGATTCACTGGGTTCCAACTTCAGCCATGGAGCTAATTTTGCAACTGCTGGATCAACAATCAGACCTCAAAACACAACCATGGCTCAGAGTGGATATAGTCCAATCTCGCTCGATGTGCAGTTTGTTCAGTACTTGGATTTTCAGAGAAGAGCGAAAATTATTCGCAAACAAGGTACCAATAAACGCAAAATCTTGAACCTGACTCAAGGAAGTAAAAGTCAACGTATTTATCTCATGAATAACCCCTTCCATACTTCGCTAATGTCCCTCTTAAATATGCTAAGAAAGGATGTTCATAGGGGTTAGAAAGACCTGGTTATAGGAATTTAGGTCACCTATATTAGTAAATGAAAACCATCTCGACCGGATTACAGCAAAAAACAATGGTGAATAGGCTACAGTAATAGCAAGCATCTTAGCTATGTAAATTGACCAAGAATAAAGGAATTGCTTTCAATTTTGTTATTCTTTTCCGTTTGTAATTTATGATTAAGAAATCTTGGATTTCCATAATATTATGTTATTGTGTTCTTGTCGAAGGGTTCTTTAAGAACTTACTGCCAGATGAGGGCTATTTTTCTCGTGCATTATACACATTTGACATTGGCCAAAATGATCTCACTGCTGGTTATAAACTCAACATGTCCACTGAGCAAGTTAAGGCATATGTTCCTGATTTACTGGGTCAATTTTCCAATGTTATAAAGGTGAGAAAATAAATACACGAACTCAGTTATTTTACTTATCAGCTACAATCGACTGATCATTTACTTGGAAAGAATGTTGTGATTGCTACAAATAGTATATATATGATCGAGGTGGAAGGTCGTTTTGGATACACAACACAGGACCGTTGGGGTGTCTGCCATATGTTATGGATCGGTTTTTAGTTACCCCGGCTCAGATTGATAAATATGGTTGCGCAAGTCCATTTAATGAGGTTGCGCAGTATTTCAACCTTCGGCTGAAGGAAGCAGCTATGCAACTCAGAAAGGAGCTTCCTTCAGCTGCAATCACATATGTCGATATTTATACAGCGAAATATTACCTCATCAGCCATGCCAAGAAGCTAGGTAAATCATTTTTTCTTCTTCTTTAATACTGCCCATTATCCAGTATTCTCGAGTCCACTCAACGGTCATATGTGTACTATGAAAATGACAGGATTCGAGGACCCGTTTCTAGCTTGCTGCGGTCATGGTGGGAAATACAACTATAACAGATTTAACAAATGTGGGAGTAAGAAATTTGTCAATGGGAAAGAGATCATACTAGCCAAGTCTTGTAGGAACCCTTCTGTTCGAATTAATTGGGATGGAACTCACTTCACTGAGGCAGCCAATAAGTGGATCTTCGATCAAATTGTTGACGGTTCATTTTCTGACCCTCCATTTCCTTTGCAGTTTGCTTGTCATAGGATGGATCACTGAATCCATATGCTTTACTCTTTCTTAATTTCAATGATTTTTCTTTTGCCATTTTTTTCAACTAGAGAGTTATGAAGTTTGTTGATGGATTATATTTCTGATTTTTGTAACGTTATTGGATGTGCATTCTAAAGAATCTTTTTCTAGTATCTTTGGAAAAAATATTTTGGCGACAACAATTATTGTTGGTCCCACTTATGAGGCGAATTACAGGGTTCAACAGAGATGTCTCAACTGTCAAACACACCACGAATGTGAGTCTAACCATGACTTCTTAATTCCATATGTTAAAAGAAAATTTATACCATTTCTTGAGTTCATAATTTATTAAAATAAAAAATGACATAATCTATGCCATCTCAATCTTAGCAGGTCTCTTTCTTTTCAAAGAAGAAGAAGATCCATTTACTTTGAGGCCCAACACCTCGGGCGGCGGCTGTACATTCAGACCCACCACCCTTGGCGGCGGAGGATTTCCATTTCCTCCGCCGGCAGAGAGGTTGAAGATTTCATAATGATGTGGCAATTTTGTGAATCTTGAATTTGAAATTCTTGATAATAGAATTGGTCCACTGAACGACCTTTCTTGTTTAAGGGCTCAAACGAACCCTGAAGTTCAAGATCACTACTTTTAACGGCTAGAAATTTTGTGGGGGTGGGTGAAGATTGCAAGGCAATTAACTCCTTGTTTGATCCTTTTTTTTTAAAATATATTTTCTCTCATCTTTTCAACTACAAATTATTCAATAAAATAATTACACGCAAATTCAAAACTTTTCTTTATTTTTAACCACATATTTTCCGTTAATTTACTATTTCAAAATGCATTCAACACAAAAAAATATTGAACCGTTGGGGATTGGAGGGGGATAAAGGAGTCAAAATTTTGAATAAATTAGTTACATCTTGTTTAAGCCCATTTATTTGAAAAATACATTTTCCTCTCTCTTATTTTCAACCACACATATTTTGAATGTCACCCTTTTACCATTTTCTTTTCTTTGTAATATTATTTTTGATCGTTACAAGTTAATGCTTATGTTATCTGAAACCCTTCAATTGGTCAAACATAAACTCTTATATTTAAAGAGAATGATTAGATAAAGAAGTTACCTTATTATTAAAAGTTAAGGCATAAATTCAATTTTTAATTAGATTCGAGTCATAAGTTAAAGTTTGAATATTGTTTTCAAGCCATTATAGGAGTCGAAACTACCTTCTGACTATGAGACGTCATATATCAAGTCTAGATAAATAAAGGAGAGGGAGGGGGGGGGGGGGGGGGGGGGGGGGGGGGGG